ATATAGAAAAAATGAAAAATTAGAAAATTTATTAAAAAAATATCAAGATATAGGATTTTTAAAGTATCGCTTTACCATTAATTAATTTATTATCATCATCATTTTATGGTGTTATTTTTTTACCAGATAATATTACAAAAAAAATTTTTATTAGCTATATAGTAAGTGTTTATCACCATATTATTACTATAAATTCTTTATATTCAATGGAACAAATGCTAGCAATAACAATATTATAATTAAGATTTGAGAAAATATATTCATACAAATTATTTTATATGTGGGCCAAGTTTTATCATAGTAGAAATAGTTTAAAGGCCTAAATTTTATTTGTTTCAAAATGATGTTTGCTTTGAAAATTGTTTTAATAAAAAATGGTCATTGCAACCTTTTTTAAGAAAAAAAAAACCAAGTTTAGACTTAAAATCTCTAGTGGATGATGATTTTTACATCAGTATTTTTATTGGTTTCATCAAAATCTGAGTGTCACCACCAAATCAATTTCTTCTTTCTTCCTTGACCTTAGTGTGGTTATAGAGATTATTTGCCTTGTATTTTGACTTCTTTATTAATTGATTATCATTGTGATTTAGCACCAACTATTACCCTCCTTTTCCCCTCTACCGTTATTGTTTTGGGTAATATTACTTGTAATCATGTCTTTATTTTGAATTTTTGCACTATTTCTTTTTGATTTCATATTATCTCAAAAATTTTCATTACTATGTAAGTTAGTAATATGATTGAAAAAAATTTTTAATACCAAAACATTGCATCTTCTCTCAACTTTGTTGTCTAAAATGACCAGACTATATAGTAAAATCTCTTGACACAACTTATTTAAAGAAGAAAGAGTTTACATTCAAAAAACTGATCTAAGAACAGAGACAGATGTGGTGCTTGTTCCTTGGATAATGAATTAAGAGAAGCTTGATTATTTTAAGGAAATTCATGTCTCAAAGCAAGTAATAAATATGCCAAAATCACTTTCATTCTATTTCATTCATCCCGTTATCCATATGCCAATTATCCATTAATGCAGGTGAGCATGGCAAGTGATAAACATATGTTGCTAGGAGGATTGTTCAAAAGCTATCATGAAACGAATACTTATATTGGAGAATGGTTGTGAGATGTTGACTAACTTGTGCTTTATTCACTCATCATCCATCTTTTCTCTTTAATCATATTGTCTATTTTCCTTTCGTCCTTATGCTGTTGAACGTGTATTTTGCGAGCAAGACTCTAGCTTCGTTTCATTATTGATTAAGACAACAAGCACAAGCCTCATTTTCTTATCAGGTTCAATTTCCAATTATTTGATGGATATATTTGGTCATGAACAATTTGGGAAACATACCCGCCCATATTTGTGTAAAAAAATTTTAAGCCAATATATTTTTTATTCTGTGTTTAAAATGAAAAACAAGTCAGTGTTAATTATTTATAACCATTTTCGGAATTTAGAATATGAAATTCAGAATGTAAAAGTGAAAAAAGAGGTGGTTAATTATAAAAATTAAGTAATATGTATGAATCAATTGAAGGTAAACAAAGAAGTAAAAAGCAATGGTGGAAAATTAGGAGGAAATTTAAGCAAATGAATAGTTCTGTTGAAAGATTAATTTTAACAAGTTAGTGATGACGTTAAATAATTGTTTATAATGGTTTTTTTTTATTCGCAGAAGCTTAAGAGAATATAAAAATGCTATTCGGATCAGAAAATATGAATACAAAATATGTAACTTAGAATGGAGAAATGATAAAATTAAACAAACCAGGGATCCAATTACAAATATATGGGGATGGTAAGTTTTCCGATTCGTTAGGAACATATCGACTAATTTCGATGCAATGACGATATGATACAACATCCACCTTTTGCCTGACGACATTGTAGTAATTGGGCGATGGATGATTACTGAACTTGTTTAACTTATTGATAATACTTGTGTTTTTTATTCATAAAACCATATGTGTGAAAATTTCAGCCTTAACTCTATTACGATAGTCTATGACTATTTGCCTCTCATCCATTTTCATTAGTTGAAGATTCACACCTGTACTGACTATGAGACTACAAGGCTTCTCGATAAAATTTCTTGCGGAAAGACGTTTCTGATGCTCGACCTCAATGAATATTATTACAGATGGTGAATTCGTCAATTTTATAAGAAATAATAGTACCATCACACTCACGATGCCCCTTTATTTCTGTAGGCAAGTCATCAGGCCAAGAAACTGCATATTCTGTGTGAATATTTTCACAACCTGGTGGTCGAAAAAGATCATTAGAATTTTTTTGATAAAATAGGGAAACAATATGACGAGGACAATCACGAATTCGACAATATGAACCCAGAGTCGCGATATTTTTAATATCTAAATCAAAGTGACCTCTGACCTCAAAATATACGCCCACCTCCGCTGTATTTGTATAAGCTACGCAATCAAGTTCATTCCTATCACCGTTATTTGTCAGTTTGTTCTCTTTTTCTACCAATGCTCTAGCCATTACTGCTCCAATTGACACAAATGCCACCCACGCGTTTATGAATTATCTGGATACTTGTTTATAATTTGAATAACTCAAGTATACAGTGAATCTCGATTTAGCGGATAGTTTGGGCAATTAGGCAAAAATTCGTTAAACCGAGATATCTGCTATATCGAGAAGATTGTTATTAACGAAAGAATACAACTCAACCAAAGCAACATACTTTGTAACAATTTAGAAAATATTGGCAATATTTTGGAAAGAATTGCCAACGATGCTATCTCTCTTTGGAAATTTTCGAAAGAAAAGGAAAGTTTTCGTTTCACAAAACTGATTGCGTTATATAAATCTTTTGATCATTGTATTTATAAGTAAAAATGAAAGAAATATTTTTCCCGCCACTAAAAATTTGGGATTAATCCCATTATTGTTAAAGAATATTATTTAAGCTTTTTTGAAAAAGATTCTTTCCTGCTACTAAAAATACCAGCAAGAAATTAATCCATTATGTCATTATCAACTCCACTCGCTCATTCACTGCGACGTTTAACTTAAAATCTTGTTTAAATAATAAATGAATTAATTCCAAATTTCTAGTGCGATGCTAATACTAAATCAACAATAATAAAACGCACGAATTTATTAATATTAATATTACTGACTTTTTTAGTCGCAAAAAAATTAGTAAAGTATTAGGAAAGAAGGTTGATTCGTTCCACAACATGAGTAAATTAAATGAATGACTGATAGATCTATTTTTACTATTTATTTTTTTTATCGCTTATCAAATTTTGCAACTCTTCAGCGTTAACCTTTTCCAATCTTTTTATATTCTTTTAACGCTGCTTTTCGAAACCTTTAATTGAGCGTAGTCAAAACCGAGAATATTCAAGTTTTTTAATGAAGGAGCTCGACTCATTGCAACATATACCTGTCCTTCGGCAAATATGTTCTCATCAACATTCAACGTTACATGCGGCTTTCTTTGATTCTCCTTACCATAGATCTCGAAATAACATGTTTCCTTCTGGATGATGATTTAATAATATTTTTTTTTTCAGGTGGCAGGTCACAGTTTTGGTTAGTAGAACATCTGATCAAGAATGGCACGATCATAAAATGTTCACTCGGCGAAAAAAAAATTTCTATATCATCAACAAAAAAATTGGTACAAATAAAAAACAACCGTTTATTTGGTGATTTTGGTGATTTATTTTTTATTTAGGAAAAAAATGGGACATACACCTATGCCTATTACAGCCACAATACACCCTAATTCTTTTTTTCCCATTTCTTCATTATTCAAAAAATATATACATATACAAACACACATACGCATATACGAATATGCAAAAATTAAAACTTACAAAAATTTTAACGTCAATTTTTACTATTATTTTATTATGTTATAGTGTCAAAGCCTTCCGTGTGAGGTTAATGAGTTAGCATCCTGCTCTAACGACGGATTTTAAATCTCGAGGAGGCGGGATGACAGATTTATTAGGGATTTCTGGACTTGTTAATAGCCGTTCTGGTTCTTAAAGTTGTTGTAATTTGCATTAAATGAGAGGGTACGATAGCTGACGGTTCTATTCTTGACATGGTTTGATAATAGATTATATATAAAACTATTAAGCAAATTATTCGTTTAGTTACCTACGCTGTACGACTCTTTCAATGAATATCAACATTTATCGGGGTTCTGGGTCTGATCGTTGGGGATGGGGGATGGGGATAACGATCGAAGGTGCTATCCTTGATGTGGTTTAATAATAATAATATATAAAGATATTAAGTAAATCATTCGTTTAGTACCCGCGTTGTTCTCTGAACTTGGCCTACGGTTAGCATTTGAGGGTCTGGTCGTTGTGATTTGATTGGTTATCTGATTGAAAATCAGCGATTCTATTGGATTTCTGGTTGGCTGATTTCTAGGTTAACGGATTCCTTAATTTTCCCGGATTTCTGGATTTCTGTGTAATAGGGTGATTATTAATTCTATTCTATTCATTCAATTTATTTTGAATATGCGTGTGTGTGTGTTTGAGAAACTTTGGATTTTGATCATAGCTAGCAGAGGAGTTAAGACATTACTATTTAAAGACGGAAGGATGCATGGATAAACTGGTTATAATGATATTGGTATAAACATCATTATTAACGAAATTTTTATTTATACATGTTTATATTTGTATATTATAAGGGTTTTTTTATTTTGAACAAAGCACATGTAGCTTGGTTGAAATTATTATAATTTTATTAATAAAACAAATTTAGCAGAGAAATTATATATTGATGCGGGCATAATTAATTCAATACCAAAAAAAAAAAAAAATTCGACAAATGAATATACATGACCTTTGATATTATATCATGGAATAAATATCCAGGCGATCTCATTTAACCCAAAATATCAATTTTTGTTACCAATCCGATTGTGACAAGCATATGGATTTGAGCAACATTTATTATTATTAAAAAAAAAAATCTTGTTCTTGCTGACATGGAAGTAGAACTTAAACAAACCTCTGAATGGTCTAAGCTTGAAGAAAATACTCCAATCTCTAAAAGTAATATATGGGACGAAACACCTAGAGACTCGGAAGATTCAGTGACAGAACACCACGCAAACGAAATAGATGGGATGTTACTCCTCAAGTTTCAGCAAAGAAATTTCGTTGGGATGAAACTCATCCAGAAGCTCAAATTGGAGCCACGCCTGCTGGGAATTTGGGGTTAGTGACTCCTACTCCTGATCATCTCGTGCCTATGACGTCTGAAGGTTTGTTTCATAAACAAATTTTTTATTCAATAATGTGTTTAAGCATTTCAATAATTACAAAAAAATACGACTATGGGAAAAAGATCTAGACACACGTAATAAATCTTTATCAGATGAAGTGCTTAATGCAACGTTTCCTTCAACTGGTTACAAAATTCTGGAACCACCATCAGGATATGTACCGATCAGAACTCTTGCTCGTAAATTGATGGCCACATCAACACCAATGGTAGGCGAAGGTTATATAATGTTAGAAGAAGATCTATGATTTACCTCCAGAAATACCAGGTGTTGGTAACTTGACATTTTTTAAACAAGAAGATAAGCAACGCTTTGGTAAATTATTAGAAGATAAAGATGAAAGTGAATTACCTGTTGAAGAGTTGAAGGAACGCAAGATTATGAGATTACTTCTTAAAATAAAAAATGGAACACCTCCAATGAGAAAAACTGCACTTATACAAATCATGGATAAAGCTAGGAACTTTGGAGCTGGAGCACTTTTAAATCAGATTCTTCCTTTATTGATGTCTCAAAATTTAGAAGATTAAGAATGTCATTTACTAGTTAAAGTAATTGATTGTATTCTTTATAAGCTTGATGCTTTGGTACGTCCATATGACCATAAAATTCTTGTAGTCATTGGACCGCTTTTTGATTGAAGAAGATTATTTTGCAAGATTTGGTTAGTAATTTTTATTTTTATTTTTCCTTCTTTAGAGTTCGTGTATTCAGGCAAGAGACACAAAATTGATTGTTCTTTAATCAAATTATTTAAGAAAATTAATAATTTATTGTTATACTGATTGTTATTATTTGAACTTTCTATAAAATAGAGGACCGTGAAATTATAAGTAATTTAAATAAAGCTGCTGGATTACCAAAGATGATTTCTACAGTGAGAGCAGATACGTATATATGTGCACACATAAATATAACACATGCACATATTTTAATAAATATAATACTTTATTTATTAATTATTTATATGATAAAAATACATAATAGATATTGAACATGTTGAAGAATATGTTAGATACACTACGGCAAGAGTCTTTTCAGTTGTAGCATCTGTACATGGAATTCCTGCAGCATTACCATTTTTGAAAGCGATATGTAAAAGTAAAAATCATGGCAAGCCAGACATACAGGAATAAAGATTGTTCAACAAGTAGTTATTTTGATGGGATTTCCATATTTATATTATTTGATTGAATCAGTGTTGATTATTTACACATTTATTTATACAGATAACTTTTTTTTTTATAAATGTCTATATATTGGTATATTACACTTCGTACAATTTATATTATAATTGAACTGGATTGGATAAACATTCTGCCGACATTGCATCACAACGTCAATGAAAACAGGGTTTGATGGTTTGGTGCAAGCAAGAACCACTTTACAAATGCCATATAATGGATCAGTGAGTTCTGCAAGAACCATCCCATTATTTATATCTACATATAACGAAAAGTCTTGCTTGTCCTAGTATTAAATAATGCATATAAGATATGCATAACAAGTTAAATAGCAATCACATTTTTTTAATATAAAGAAATCATTTAGTTTTAACTATCATTTTCTGTAACCAATTCATTTTTATTATAATATTGGCTATTATTTAATAACTTTACTTGTTGATAATAATTCTTTTTATTAAATTACTTTACGAAAACAAGGCAAAAATGACTCAAGAGAAAGAAGTAGATGTATATAAAATGCGAATAATTTTACTTGTTCACCCATTAATATTAATTAAAAATAACAAGGTCACCCACCACTCCACCTTCACCTCCATTTCTTGTGCCAATTTCTTCCACCCCCACAAACTTCTATTAGTCCAAAGATAAAACCAACCAGCAAGAAAAATTTATGATGACAACGGACATACTGTTGGAATTAATTTAATTGAAAAAAAAACAGTGATTGCAAAAACAACACAATCAGTCATTGATCGAATACAAAGAGTAGAAATTCCAGCAGAATCTAACACCGCAGGTATAATTCGAAACCTCAACAAAATAAACAATTGATAAAATTTTAACCAATGAACATGTTTCTATCATACACAGAAAAAATAAAATGACAAGGAAAAAAAGAAGACATAGTAAACCATCTATATACAAAAGGTATAATTCAATAATTTTACTGTTAATTTTAACATGCGTCGTTTAATAATGGTAGGAATTTCTTCTAGTCCAAGTCTTGCTCCTATCACCTCCACTGAATCTTCCAATAGGTCACGATCGCCTAGCTATTAAAGGCGTTTCGGGTAAATTTATTAATAGGATTTGCACGCGTTTAATCAATTATTGAATCGTGTAACGAATATTTTTTTTGGAAAATTGCCGTGATAATCACCATTACTGTTTTAAAATAAATAATAAAAAAACCAATAAAATCCTAACTGAAGAATGCCCCAAAAGTCCAAGACCAGAACGTTTACTAAGTATTGACACATAAAAAACAATTATTTATTTGAACAAAGGAATAAGAAATTTTAACCCATACAATTGTTGATTGACCAATCAAAATCGTGAATTTGATAACGTAAAAATAAATGTGGGTTTGATTCATTTTGTCAACAATCACTTCACGAACAATTGTTTCATTAACAAATGGTTCGAATTTAAGAAGTTGGAAGCAACCATTTGAAATAGTCTAATAAATTAAATTGTACTACTCGAAAATGTATTTAAAGGGTTGGTTTTCGACTTGATTGAAGAATAACTCTTTTCCTAACTCTTCTCTTGACCATATCTCTTGATGTAATCAAAATAACCTTAATATAATGAATGTCGGCAAAATGATTGTAAACACAACCAATATTTAAGATATACGATTAAGATAAAATGTGAACGATGTATGAAATAATCAAACAAATATATTTAATAAAAACAAAATTTACAACCCAAAAAATTTTTTTTGCATGTCCTAATAAAATTTCCATTGTTGCTGCTGCATCATCTATTGCTGATTAAATGTTACCCAGATCATAACCAACTGCATTTTTGATATTTTCGATAAACTCATTTTTGTTTAATCTTTTTGTCATACTTTTCTTTTAGTGCGTTGACATTTTTTTGATTTCGACTTGATGATAGTCCAAGATATCAAACATTTAGATTGGCATCTTTGTAGACAATGATTGTGATAACCATCTCCACACGTGAGTATATACACTACAATTATTCAAATTAGTATAGTTAGTGTGATCACAATATACGTAATTGCAAAAAATGTTTGTAATGGTTTCCTAGAAGTAACAAATCCTCTTTGAAGGTGACGTTCGAGTATTTCGTAAACTAAAGAATGCAATTAACACCATTAGATGAAGTTTTAGTAATCAAAGGATACTGATTTCGTGTTTGATATGGTGGTAGTACTTTTACCGAATCTAAATAGAATGCAAGGTCGAACTTAAAAGAGTTAATTTAACTAACTGGTTTGTAAAAAAAATTACCTCAACATCCTCAATCAGAATCAAAGTGAAGATTTTCACTTTAATCGTTATATAAACCTCCCCAAGCATGTCATTCTTCAAGAAGGTGCAAAAGTGATGTTCCTCAACAACAAGTTGATTTATCATGTAATTTGCAGTGGGACAATAATCAAAATGACTGATCCTCAAAATGTTGAAGTTACCTTTCTGACAACCCGCAACATCACAAAGATGATTGTGCAAAAAGAAACCATTTACTTTAATATCAATGGAAGCCCTGCATCAATGCAACAATTTCCTCTTCACAATGCCTTCGCTCTTACTGTGCACAAAACCCAAGGATTGATATTACCTCACAAAACTGTCAACATTGATGAAAATATGTTTGCGCTCCCTGGTAAAATCTTGTTAATAGTTTCAATCAGTTCATTTGTTGCCATATTGCACAATTGACGTTTTTATTAAAGTAATATCATTATTTTCGTTTATTTTATCTACTCGAAGCAAGTCATCATCATTCATATTATCTATCATATACAAATTCTTCTTCTGAACTTCGTATTTTCAGTTTGAGCAGGTTTGTAAAATTGAAAATTGCTCTTCGCCTTTACATCCAGTACCCTTTGCATGATGATTTAAGTAAACTTCATCGCAGCATCTATTATACTTTATTGTTTTACCACAAATGCAAGCAATTTCCTTAGCATGAATAATATGATAAAAATGATCAAATTTCAAAGTATTTTTACCTAACATAATAATAATCAATCCAATTTACTTGATGAGCCAATTCATTTTCTAATCTTAAACAAACCCACGAGTTACCTATTACTATATATATTGCTCTGGCCCTCGGAAAAGTATCCTTTTTACAATCAATTAGTTTAAACATCGTCCTCTTTTTTAGTGGTGTCAAAATAACCTTGATTAATTTACAAATTTATCTGCAAGATCCAATCGCTGCAGAACGTTTTATTTAGTGATGAAGTACCAGTACAAAGAACTAACTGATGAAGAAATCGTTAGAGAAGTGGGGTCAAATCCTGAGGTTGACAGTTCTGATGAAGAGAAAGAAGTGGAAACAGTATATGGTTATCAGATAGTTTAGACTTGGTTACTATGAACTTCATCTCGTTGTAAGGGACTTTTCAATTTATTTATAATAAGTTCGCTACAAAGAGATTTTTCTTTATAATGGAACCAAGTCTTTACTATAATTGTTGTGGTATACCATGCCTACTACATTATCAATAGTACGTGTCCAATTTTTAAGAAATAATCTACAAAGTCTTTGTAAAATATTCAGGCTGTTCTATATTAAAAACTATTATGTTGACATAGGTCAATTGGAAAGGATGTAATGATGACTATATAATAATATTAATATATGTACAGTAACGCCTAATCCATGTGGTCGCTAATATCATAGTGACGATTTTGTATGTGAAAATTAAATTGGCAAATCAAAAAGGAATTTCTGTCCGTGTTTATGTAAAAGAATCATCATATTAAAAACCCATTTATGGAAGGGCAAAAAAAATATGTAAATAATATTAATAATATTAATATTAAATTTTGTTCGTTTACGTTCCATCCTAAAAAATAATAGATTGTTTTTCATAACCTTATCGTATATATATTGTTTATTTGGGGGGGGGGGGTTTTTTTTTTAAAAAAAGGAAAACAATTTTTTTCTAATGAATTCATTATTTTATGATTCATTTGAATTATTTTGTTTTTCTTACCTGGATAACAACCGACGACGAAGACGACAACAAAGACGACGACGACGACGACGACAAAGGCGTCAAAGGCGTTAACAACAAAAAAACATACGGAGTGCATGTAGGGCTACAGATTCTGTCGTCCCATCTGAAAAAAAAGGTTAACCCTCGCCACTATGTGTCCTGGAGGGTATGTGGAAGGAAGAAGCGCTGGTATGACGGGGACTTTGCTCCTGTTTGCCTTTCATCCGAGCCTCTTTGATTAGGTAAGTGTAGTATTTGACATCAAAGAGAAGAGCTCGAGCGAAACCTTATCTACAGGTGAGGGGCCCGTGACCTCGGTGTAGTATCAGTCAGACATTTTTAAGTAATTCTGACA